TGTTTTATTCAGACAGTATACTCTATTTTTTTCTCCATAATTTCTACTCTTAGGAAACGTTATTGATTATCTGCTAGTCATGGTGGGAGATAGCTACTATCCTGAAATGCTTCCTGTAGATATAGATACACCTAGAAACCTTTTCCCCAGTCAGATGCTGCCCTGCCTAGGCTCAAGTTGAGAAAGCAAGCCTTTCCATTTCCTTAGGAAGTTCTTGTATAAACTGAAGTTGAATACAGTTCTTCCTTTGGCAACCAGAAACTTTAATGCAGAGCCTGGAATACGGAAATTCTTGGTTCTCACTGGGGACCATGTCCTCATGGCACAGGCTTCCTGAATGAAACATTTTGGCACAAATTTAAACAGATGTGCAAACATGGCCCATGTCTCTTAATACAGTGCTTTTCAGCTAAGTCAATCTGTTCATCTAAAACAGAACTAAAGTGAACTTTAATACAGAACTTTTTAAGGAAACTGAGGATACATATAGGAAAAGTCAGAGTCCTGTTTTAGTTCCTGCTCACAAAAGCATGCCACTGCTCTGGTTTGAACATGGTTTGTTCTTGAGGGTTCATATGTTGGAGGCTTTGTCTTTGATGTGGCCAGTTTGAAGAAGGAGGAACTTGAAGACTGGAGCTTAGTGGGAGGTTACTGTGGGGGCCTGTCCTTAGATGGGAGAAAGTAGTTTCCATGACACTCTTAGGGAATTAAAAAGTGAGTAATAATGAAAGCTCTCTTCACTCTGGCGTAGGTTCCCACTGTGATGCCACCCACCATGGTGGGATACAGTCAGGAGGGCCTCACCAAAGCCAGTACTATAATGCCTGAGCTTTCCAAAACTGTGGGCTGGGCTAAGTAAACCTATTTTCTTCATAAAGCACCTGGCCTTGGGTATTTCATTATAGCAACAAAAAATGCACTAATACATCCAATAAAATATTTCTTCATCCAAGAAAACAGGGATCTACCTGGAAATGATTATGCTTCTTTGACCTTCTGGGAAGATTATTACTGATCCTTAACCAGCACAAAGGCACAGACTTTTCAAAACCCCAGTCATAAGCAGTCATGCTTTCTGAATAGGAGACTGATTTCTTTGCCAGAGTAATAATTTTCTAGCATCTGTGTGAAAGTCTTACATTCAGAAAAATGCCACAGTTTTGGCACCCAAGAACGGAAGAGCCATCTGGCTCCTCTTGGACTCCTTGGCTTAGATTCCTAGGGTTACTATCACTGTGGTTTGGGAGGTCTAATACAAAGGCGTTCCCCAGGCTTGGGAGAACAATAGGAGGCAGGTAATAAATTGGAGCTTGTAAGAGGAGGAAACACAAGAGTCCAGAACCCTCCTTTGAATGAGAGGCCGGCAGCTGACTCACATCAGCACCAGGATGTGTGGAAGGTCAGGGTGGGAAATCTACCCATTGTCTTGCAGTAGGGGAACTGCACTGTTTATATAGAGTTCTCTGGTTGTGGGCTCCCTTAACGGATGGTTCTTGGCTGTGTCAAAGCTCTTCAAGCTATATTTAAAGGAGCAAGCTAGGTCCTCATGGGTGGGGTGTCCACAGATAATTGGTTTACTGCCTCAGTAATTGGCCACTGTAGAAGAAACTGCTGTAGAGGCTGGCACTCCACCACAGAGCACAGTGGAGCAGCACACATCTTTGTAGCAGTTCTATTTTTCTTGAACCCTGCAAACCCACCATATTCCTAGGCAGTCCGAATGTCAGGCAATGTAGAGACGAACCACGCTCTTTCTATAGTCCTGGAATTCTCAGAAACTAGCAAGAGGACTGTGGAGATAGTGTGATTGGTAAAGCACTTGCTGGTATAGCATAAAGTGAGCTCTTCAGAATCCCCACACAGGTGTGATGGCACACACTTGTAGTTCCACTGCTGGTGAGGCAGAGGCAGGTGGATCCCTGGGGCTCCTTGGCTGGTCAGCCTAGCCTACTTGGCAAGCTCCAGACCAGTGAGAGACTCTGACTCAAAGGACAAGATGAACCATTCCAGAGAACTAAACCCCAGGTTGACCCCTGGCTTTCACACCCATTCATACATATGTGTGTACACACCAGTATACTTGAATGCACATACACAAAACCCGCGAGAACATAAATGTCTATTCCCTTTAAGGGGTTTCATCTGTGTTTTCTAGACCTGTAAGGGTTAGTTCTAATATGGACCCAGTGGATATAGATAAAAGTAATCATAAACAGATCTTTGTGACCCTGGGGTAAGCAGTCACATGATCAAAAGGACCTTCCTGATTAAAATGCTAACTAGGATGTCAAGTGCTATTATAAGGTAGCACCCCTATAAGGTAGCAACTTCCTGAGCCAAAGAATTGGCCAAGGTCTGGCAAGATGGCTCAGGAGATAAAGGGACCTGCTGCCAAGGCTGTCGACCTGAGTTCAATTCCTGGGACCCTTGTCCTATGACTTCCACATGTGTACCATGACACTCATACACATACACATACTTGATACACACACAATAAATAAATATACAGATAAATAATTTTAAATTAAAAAGAGAATTGGCCAGGACAAGATTCACTGTCTAAAGACATAGTTCAGGGACTGGGGAGACGGCTCAGCGGAAGAACACTGACTGTTCTTCCAGAAGACCCAGGTTCAAATCCCAGCACCCACATGGCAGGTAACCACTGTCTGTAACTCCAGTTCCAGGGGCTCCGACAGCCTCTTCTGTCCTCCATAGCCATTGCACAACAAGGGTACATTTACCTGCATGCAGGCATAACACTCATACACATAAAATAAAAATAATAAATAATTTTTTAATTGTTATATGAAATTCTCAGTAAATTATTTATTTTTTAAAAGTTATTTTAAAAAAAAAGACACAGTTCTAAAACATGGGCCACAAATCATTCATTCATGGGCCTCAGTGGTCTAACTTGATCTTTGATACAAGTGTAGTCCTTTGCTTCTTCCTTGTTCCTATGGGGAAGGGGGCTGTAAAACAATAGTCTTTGCCTCATCATGGTCCCTGTGGGGCAGAGTAAGGGAAGCTTTGCCCATCTGTTGCTGGCAACACAAGAGGATCAGGAACAGACTTGTATGGAGTGTCCCCAGTATCCCGGGCTGGCACTCCAGGAGCAAGATGTCACTGCATGCTCAACACAGCTCCTCAGATCAAGACACAAGTTCAAGGACGCCCAGACACCAGTACTCAAGATACAGATTTGCATTTCTCTTTGGGGATGGATAGAAAAGGTGCACCTTTGTCAAATTTACTTAAAAGCAGTTATCAGTCTCTGAATTCTTAGAGGATCTGTTATGAAGCAGGAAATATTTAGGAAGAAGAACAAAACATTTGCATATGCCCACAAAAGGAATGTGTTGAGGTGTTTGGCAGGTGTGGCAAGCCTGACAATGGGAACTTCTGTTCCTTGCTGGTAGTGGCTTTAAAAGCAGGAAAAGATGAAAAGTACTCCAAGCACGGAGCTGAATTAAAGCTAATGCATCTTAAGTGCTTACAAGGCCCTGCATAATTCTGAGCACTTGACTTTGCTAACCCATTTAACCTTCCCAAAAAAACCAATGGAGTGAGTGCTATAGTAGTTCTATTTTACAGAGGTGGAAACAGGCAAAGGGAGGGTTACCCAGCTGCCAAAGGAGCCAAAAGGGGCCAGTGAACAGCACAGCTGGGATTCAAAGCCAGTCAAGCAGCAGAATCCTGGCTCTTAACAGCTGTACTCTCTGCCTGCTCTGGCCAAGAAATACAGCAATGACATCACACAGGATGCCAAGCTTACTCAACTATCCATATGGAATGACAAAACAGCTTTCAGATTCACCTTCTTATACATTGGCCAAGAAAAGCTAGAGACTGCTGTCAGCACCCAAGCATGTGAGACGTGGGTCTAATTTAAACAAAGCATACTTTTCTAACCCAGCACAATTCTCTTTGTGTAATTTTTTCCTTTCTTTTGTTGTTATTTATTTGGGGGGTGGTGTAGCTTATGTGTACCTATGTGCTCATGTATGTGTGTATGTGTTCATAGGTGTATGTACATGTGGGTACACATGTGTGTGGAGGCCAGAAGTCTATTTTGGATGTCTTTCTCAAGTGTTCTCCACCTTATTTTTTTTAATTTATTATTTTTGTTTTATGTGTATAAGTGTATTGCCTGCATGTATGTGAGTGCGCCCATGTGGTGCAATGCCGCAGAGGTCAGAAGAGGGCTTTGGATTCCCCAGGAACTGGAGTTAAGGACTGTTTGTAACCACCATGTGGGTGCTGGGAATCGAACCAGGGTCCTCTGCAAGAGCAATCAGTGCTCTTGACCACTGAGCCATCTCGCCAGCCTTCCACCTTTTTTTTTTTAAGACAGGATCTCTCACTGAACCTGGAGTTCACTGATTGGCTAGACTGCCTAGCTTAGTTAGCTCCAGGCAGTTACTGATCTCTGCCTCCCATACACTGGGATTACTGGTAAATGCCACCACACCCAGCTTTTTACATGTTTGTTGGGGATCCAAACTCAGGCCCTCGTGTTTACACTTTCTTACTGACTGTTTAGGGGGTAGCCAACTGCTTTAAAATAGGATTTGCAACCTGCTTCATGGGAAGGACTATATGCCCAATACTGGAAACCTGGTCAAAAGCCTATGGTTGGGCAGGTCACAAGCTCTAGTGGAGAATTTACTACTGATGTTTTGCTAAACGGACATATTGTCAAACTACTTTCTAAACACTAATCTGTTTGTACCCACAGATTAGTGCTGCTCTCAGACTTGATCAGAGAAGTTTCTTTTTGTAGGGGGTGACAAAGCATAGACCGATAACTGGTCAGAGTGCAGAGAACAAATGACTGTGAGTGCTCAGCCCTAAACAGGACATCTGTGTCATCCCCTCCAAGGCCCAGGGAACATCATAAAAAAGGGAATAGAAAGCATGTAAGAACTGCAGGATGTGGAGGATTGTTGTGAGATGCTGTCTTCTATATGTGACATGGCTGTTGCACTCATGAACAGCAGCTGTGGTTACCGGCACAAGACCTGCACAAACAAAAAGATGTGATAAGAAGAGAACCTGTTAGGAGAATAAAAGGGGTCAGCAGAAGTGGAAGGGAAGGTAAGAGAAGGTAACGGGTGAGGGGGAGGATATGATCACAGTATACTGCATACATGTACGAAACTGTCAAAAATGAAAAATGAAACCAATTTTTTTTAGTATTTTATTATTTTTATTTTATGGTACGCATGTATTGCCTGCATGTAGGTAGGTGCACCAGTGTCATGCAATGCCAGCAGAGGCTAGAAGAGAACGTCGGATTCCCTGGAACTGGACTTACAAACGGTTATTAGCAGTCATGTGTGTGCTGGCAATTGAACCCAGGTCCTCTGCAAGAGCAGCTATTGCCCTTAACCACTGAGCCATCTCTCCAACCTCCAGTAAAACCAGTTTAAAAGACAGCACCATGGGCCTCCTGACTCAGCCTGAAGCTGGCTTCCAGTACCTGTAGCCCATGACAGAACAATTTGTCTGTAGACTAGAGGCCAAAGTGTGTGTGCTATATAAACAAAGGTTTTTGTGGGGAGAAAGGCAGAAAATAGAGTACTTAGGCCAATTGGTAGTTGAATAATGGATACAAAGAGAGACTGGGAATCTGACTATGTAGGTGAGGGATGTGAGAATGGGGAGTGAAAAATAAATAAAAGGAACAGACAGACAGGGTAGGGAAAGTGCCCACTGGCAGGCATGAGGCGAGCTGGCTGGCTGCTTCCACCAGGCCAGGAGGGAGCTGAGGGGAATTGTGTACACACAGAGAGCACTTAGCTTATTCTGTGATTACACCAGAAATTGAGGCTAGGACCTGAAACACTGGGCAAAATCCTTGCCAGCTCTAAGATTCAGAAGCAGGACTGAGAGGGAGGGGAGCAGGTGACCATTGGAGGAGAAAACAGATTCAAAACCAGGAATCACTGCTTAACTAAACCTGGAGTCACTGCTTAAATTTGTGACCTTGTCTTTTCAAAGGAGGCAGCTGGAGCCCAGGGAGATTACAGGTCACACAATGAACATTGTCAGAAACTACAGGGAAGTGGGCATAGTGGTGCATGCCTTTAATACTAGCACTTAGGAGGCAGAAGCAAGCAGATCTCTGTGAGTTTAAGCCTAGCCAGGGTTACATAGTGAGACCCTGTCTCAAAAACAACAGCAACCAAAGAAATCACACAGGATCTCTTCTTTGGTTATCCAGGTGTTGTGAATAGGATAGTACCCCCACTCCACAAGATACATTCAGGTCCTAAACTATGGTACCTATGAATGTGACTTTGTAAATAAGGTCTTTGTAGATGTGCCTGGTAGGGTGCCCAGATGCTGGCTATGGTGGTAAGACCACCACAGGGGCAGAGGTGTTGAGGCTTACTCAGCATGTGACCTGACCAGAACTGCTATGCAGAAGAGAGCAGGGAAAGAGGGAGGAGGCAGGAGCTGGCAGACAGAGGGGCAAAGGGTGGTGGAGCAGGGGTGTATTAGAATTCTTTGGGGTATACCTGCTAGTTCCTCTGTAGGGCTGCCACCTATCAACCTACGGCTTCTGGGAGGAGCATTATCCACCTTTTCAGGATAAGGAGGTCCAAGATTTTATGAAGCTGTGATGCAGCTGTCACCTCCGTCCCACACTGTGCCTTGTGCCTCCGTTTTCCCTAAGGACAGTGAAGGAGTGGGACTCACTGGCGGTGACAGTATCAGATACAGAACAAAAGTAAGCTTGGGACAGCTTCTGCCAACCAAAGGTCTAACCCATTCACCTCCAACTTGACAGACTCAATCTCAATCACATCATACCTGGATCCTCCAACTGTGAAAATAAATAACAGTTACATAAGTGCCTCACAAAATATATCTTCAGAGTTCCAGGGATCAAACCCCAAGGCTACATAGGCTCTGCAGAAGCTCAGATGCCTGTGTTGGAGGCAGAGCACTGACCATCTGCCTTTATTACACATTTTAAAATATTTTATTTATTTGCCTGTATGTATGTGAGTGCATCCATGTCTTGCAATGCCCTTGGAAATCAGAAGAGGGTGCTGGATCCCCTGGAACTGCAGTTATAGGTAACTGCAGTTAGCTGCCCTGTGGCTGCTGGGAATGAAATCCAGGTCCTCTGCAAGAGCAGCCAGTGCTCTTAACTGCTGAGCCATCTCTCCAGCCCCTTGATTACACATTTTAAGAACTGGGGTCATACTGTACCCTAAAAACCAGTGAGGGCCACAGAACTAGTGATACCTTTATAACACAGAACAAAGAGTCAACAAAGTGGCGGCTCCTCAAGCCTGTGAGCAGAACAGACAGGGTGGAAAAGCAGCAGTGCCTAAGCACATTCCTAAAGATCTGGCCACCCAAGGAGGAAACCTTGCTCTTTCGAGTTCCACTCCCTTTGCTGAGCATGCAAATATATGTGGTCTCATGTCTGCTTCACAGCTTCCAGACTTCATTCTCACTGTCTTTTGCTACTGTGGTTGAGGGGGCGGGAGTAAATCTCCTCCCTATAGACACACAGCTAAACTGTGAGGCTTGAGTCTCAGGCCAGCCTGTACTTTTTCTGACCCTCCCATCTCCCCTTGGTGTGAGGGGGAAAAACAGCAACACTGTTTGACTTGAAGGGCTGATGAGTTTCAACAAATGATTTTGGTCCTGTGTTAGAAGAGGGCTGGTGAACATTTGCTGAGTTGAGCAAAGGGTTAGCAGCAAGAAGAGGAAGGAGTTCCAAGGTCAGGAGGAAGGTCAAGACCTGGAGGAACACGGGAAGGAAGGGAGAGGGCAGAAGCCTTTCTCCACTTGGGATGCCTTGTAACAGTCTCCCACTTGGATCCCCCTCTCTGGGCTCAAACTGGTCTCTTCTCTAACTGAAACAAGTCAGTATGGTCTTCCTGTGATTTCTTTGCTGGGTCATTGCCTGAGTTGCCTAGAAAAGCTCAGATATTCCCAATTCAGTGCTCATTCCTATCTCTCTCCATCTACCAGCCTCAGCACTTGAATGAAGTCTTCAGTAAGAAAGGAATGAGAAGAACAGAAAGACAGATGTTCCCTAGGGCAATTTTAGTTTCAAAACTCTTGAAAACATTTTTGCATTTAATTTCCCTTTCATCAGAGTTCCAGGATAATGTCTTTTATAGAAAGTTTCCCACACAAGGTGCTTAAACCCAGGAGACAGTGCTAGCTCCACCTCAGAGGGGAGGAAGCTGAGTGAAGGAGACAGAGCCCCAACCTTTCTGAGCCTTGTGAAGACAGACTCAACTGAATTACAGCCTTGGAGGAAGGATGAAGGTTAGTTTTCCAGCAACAGACTAAAGTGTCTTATTTGGTCTAGAGTAATACAAGTTAGAGTTTTAAAGCATCTGGCCTTACTTACCTTAGGGACTGAAGAACTTTCTTACTTTCTTATGATTCTGGTTTTACTTATAGAAGTAAGTGGTTCTGTAAATCCTGAATAGCTCCCTACCTGCTGTTCTTCCCCTGTGGGACTTTAAGTGATGATGTGATATGGTTTCACAATCTGCAACATTATCAGTAACTGAGAGAGCTCCTTTCTGCTCAGATTTGCAAGGGAGAGATCATTTAAATGGCATTTCATAGGGCTAGAGAGATGGCTTGGTGCTTAAGAGCACTGGCTGCTCTTGCAGAGGACCTGGGTTCAATTCTCAACACCTACATGGCAGCTAACAACCATCCATAACTTCAGGTCCAGGGGATCCAAGCCCTCTTCTGACCTCTGCAGGCATTGCATGACACAGGTACACTTACATGTAGTCAATATACTCATATGTAAATTTTTAAAATGGCATTTCAGGGGCTGGATAGATGGCTCAGTGGTTAAGAACACTGGTTGTTCTTGCAGAAAACCCGGGTTCGAATCCCAGCACCCACATGGCAGCTGACAACTGTCCGTAACTCCAGTTCAAGGGGATCCGACAGCCTCTTTGGTCCTCCACAGGCATTGCATGACACAGGTGCACTTACCTACAGTAAGTGCAATGTATATGCAGGCAACACACTCATATACATAAAATAAAAATAATAAACAAAATACTTTTAAAAATGGCATTTCATCATCTCAACTACGGTGGTAAATATGTTTTGTTGCTGAGAATTCTTAGTTTTTCTTGTTTGGAGAACTTTCCATTGGAATTTGTCTAAAATTTCTGAATTCAAGCACTGTATTTTCTTATGAGACAATCGTTTCTTATGTGGTTACTCTATTGCAGCAGGAACTCATTCCTTTTGAATAACAGATATAGGTAGAAAAGAGAGGGCATCAGCACCTTCTGTGTCTCAATTCTCAAGATACCACTATGCCAAACCCCTTCATGAACTCTTCCCCTTCCAGATGGGGAGAAAGGAGTTGGTATGTGCACTCATGTTTTAAAGAGGACAGCACCTGCTGCAGGCCTCAAGTCATGGAGAAGTACACATTAAACGAGAATCTCATTACAGCTGTCAGAATAACAATGATTGACAGCTAAAAAATCTCATTATGCATATCCATAGAATTGCAGCAAAGCTTTGACTAATATTTAGGTGTTCACATCTGCAGAAGCAGCGTTTTTGTTAGCACTTAAAGAATTGTTGATACACTCAGGTGCAGCACTGAAATTTTGCAGTGTACTTAGAAAGAGGCCAATGCCTCACAAAACCAAGATGGATTTTGGTTTTGTTTCTCAGTCAACTCATTTCCTTTCTCTTGAGCAGAGAATGAAATGGACAGAAGTTAGTCAACCTGTTACTCATACTGAGCAATGACAGCAACTTGCTCTTGATCTCCAGAAGACATTTCTCTCTTTTTTTTTTTTAATGTATAATCGGAATGAATGGCAAAGCAAATGGCTTAAAGGTGAGTAAATCGAGGTGCAATGTTTATTTTCAGTCAAGGGCTATGTCTATACATTTTGTTAAACACAATTCCATAGTTACAAGGATTCTAGCGTATGGTAAGTAAAGCTATTTTCATAGAATCTCAATAGTTAAAGTCACTGGTGACTAATGATGAAAAATTAGATTCTTTTTGTTCGAAAGTTCTCTTCTTGGCAAAGCATATGGTACTGTTGAATCACAAGGGCCAGGAGTTTCACTCATCGGCATTGTTTTTGGAAATAATGATGATGTTGGCTGTTGAGTAATTGATTCTCTGCTCCAAATCCAATACCCCATACTCTGCATTATGATTCTGGAGCTGGCCTGTTGCCAACCTCATTTCTATTTTTTTCCCTACTCCATTACAACAGCTCTTAACTGATATAGAATGGTTTATGTTACAAATGCCTATTCCAAATAAAAAGATTTTTGAAGTTTAGTATCAGGAGTATTTCATTCTCAACAAAATTCTTCCAAATGAGGCATTTGAGGGAAATGAGATGTTGACGAAGTCTCTAGGGTCAGCTACTGCTCTCTGGAGGACATGCGGATACAGCTCTATCTGAGAATGACTACTCACTCTACTAATCTCACAGTGCATAGGTGATTGCAGAAAGCTGTCTCCAAGGCTACATAAAACAGTCTATTCCCCCTGATACCCACCCAGCCAGCCATCCTGGATGAGAGGTCAGCACTGGGAGCTATAGAATCTACAGGGCCCTGAAGGATTTCTTTGAAGGTCAGACACAACTGGGAAAAATCCCTCCAGTTTCCATCCAGGGTCAGATGAACTACACTTCTGCACACTATCCTGACAGAGAGAAGAGGACAGTAAAATGGCTGCAGGGACCCAAACGGCCCAGGAGATCTGACCCACTGCAAGCATCAGATTCTGTCTCCAAACTCACAAACTGAACATGACAATTTCCACATTAGCAATTTTTAATGCCTTTGTATTGACAATGGGCAACTCTCGAGATTTCTCTTGAATTTTTAATTTTCACAAACACTATTAATAATGGATGGGTCACTGTCATATTTTCACTGCAAAAGGCATAACATAGAACACAAGGAAACAGAGACACACAAAGATGTGGATGCCTGGTAAGCCTCTGCAAATAGGAGAGGCATATCCCAGTCTCTTAGAGCAAGAGATTCAGATCATGTCTTAGAAAATTAAATGCCTAAGTCAAGCCTCTTCCAAGTCATTTGCTAATGGTTAATGATGCCCAAGAATGTTCTTAATGACAAGAAAATTAAACCTACAAATACCAAAGTTCTAGTTTATATATTTATGTTGGCTGGTCTATTTTGATTAAAATCTAGTAACTCAAGTTCATGTAAAGTAAGACTACAGCATGGAGTCTTAGACATGGGATGAAACTTCACATATAAGTTTCTGGGTTCATAAGCAACATCTGACCAAGCCTTGACGTCTTCATCACTAAGACAGCACCAAAAATAACAACTACTTCCCTTTGTGGTGGTGAGAATGAGCACAGCATTTTGTGGAGAAACACTCTATGAAGGAACTTCTGAGCACAGGAACCACTTTAGAGCCCTTGATAATCCCCACCTCTAACACAGTGACTGCACATAACAGGTATTCAATAAATGTTCATTGACTGATTGAATGAATGAATAAATGATTCCTACAGTTTACAAAAATGTCCTGATTGTATTGTTATGCTATTAAGGAGTTCACATAACTCCTAAACAAAACATGTCAAGGGAGAAGCAAGCCAGACACTGGAAAGATAGGGACCTTTGATTGGGTTGTAATTCATTTAAACAAGGTCTTTCTCCTAGGAGCTTTAACTTTTTTCCAAGAATTATATCATTTAGCAGGAATTTTTTATAAGAGAGCAAAACTGAAGCAAGTATCCAGAGAAGCCATAACTGAAGCATAGTTGGAAATCTTGATCAACTAGCTGCTCTGAGCAACTCGGTCCTCAGAGAATGACTGTTTCTGAAACTCAGGGATAAAGAATGACAACATCTGGCTTTAGGCTATCAATAACCTCACTACATTTCTGCTGGCAGGCCATATTTTAATTCTTTATCTATTTTCTTTCTGGAAAGGAGAAAAAGGAATGGATGCTTCCCAGTAACTCTTGGTATTTGATGGCAAAATTTGTTCAGTGAATTCTGTTATAGATTCTGGCTTCTGTGGGAAACAGTCTGGGTATATGGACAAAGTAGGGCATGAAGATTGTTTACCAATGCCCACTCCATCCTCCTATGAACATCACGGCCTCAGTCCCATGCTTATAATAAAAACAAGACCCCTGAGAGCCTCTAGGGGAAAAGGAAGAGAGGTGCTTGCTTCCAATCCTGCTCCTTACTTCCCAGCCAATCACAAGCCTGCTGAATTTTCCAGACACTGTCTTGGAAAATGCCATTGCTTCAGGAATCCCAAGATGCTATCACAACTTGGCAAATGTTAGGCAAAATTACAAACAAAAGCCTATGTGCTTATTAAGTACTTGTTTATTTGACTTTTTGATACAGTATTGATATATACCCTGGGCTAGCCATTCATATACTGTGTAGCCCAGGCCAACCCAAAACTCATAATCTTCCTGACTCTCAGTCTTCAGAGTTCTGGGGTTATTGGCATTATGCCGTGATACCTGACTAAGTCCTATCTGGGTTTGGGGGCCTTTTTTTAATATATATTTTTATTGAATTTTTGTGAATTTCATACATCTTAATCATATTTAGACCTCCTCCCCTATCTGCACCCCCAGGGCCCCCCATAGGATTTCATGCATTCTGTCATATATGTTAAGACCTATGGAATGAAGTTTGTGTCCCCAAATAACTCTCAGTGTGAATTCATCCACTGGAGCCTGTGTAGCATCACTCCCTTAAAGAAGACCAACTCTCTCCTACCCAGCAATGATGAGCTACCAACATGTTAGCTGCCATATGGGTGCTGAGAACTGACCCCAGGTCCTCTGGAAGAACAGTAAGTGCTCCTAACCACTGAGCCACCTCTCCAGCCCCTCATACATAACCTTTTATAGGGTGCTGGGATCTGAATTCAGGTCCTCATGTTTGCCCAGCAAGCACTCTTACACAGAATCATCTTGCCATCCCATGAAAATGTATTTCTGTTCAATTGACATCTCTTCCACCATCTTTGTACAAATGTACATTCAGCAACAGGTTTAATATTTACTTGTCCCTCTTGGATTACTTCCAGGATGCTTGAGGATACTAATACCTGTGGACAATTAAGCCCTCTCATAACCAATTCCCTACTGTTTTCTGGGTTTCAACAGTTCTTTCAACCATCTTGGACAGAGCTAAGTGCTGTGATGACTAATCTTGGTTGTGGACTTGACTGGATCTGGAATCAACTAAAATGCAAGTCTCTGGGCAATCATATGAGGAACTTTCTTGATCAGATTCTTCGAGGCTAGAAGACCAAACCAAAATATGGGTGGCACCTTCTGGTGGTAGCCCATGTAAAAGGACTTGGCAGAAAGAAACTCTTTTTTGGTCTTTTTGAGACAGGGTCTCCTAGTAGCCCCAGCTGACCTGGAACTCACTGTGTAGACCAGGCTGGCCTTGAACTCTCAGAGGTCTGCCTCTGCCTCCCGAGTGCTGGGACTAAAGGCATGTGCCACCATGCCCAGCACTTTTGTTTTTTTAACCTGCTCACCTTATTCTCCCTGGCGAATTTATCTATTTGTTGCTGAAGCATTCAACTGCCGATATTAGAACTAATTTCTTCAGGCTTCCAACGTAGACTGAAGACCAGCAGCTCTCCAAAGAATCCAGACCTTCGGCACTAGATTGGGACTGCTGAGACATCCCGCCTTGTGGACTGAACAACTACAGGATTCCAGTGTGGGATAGCCATTGTTGGACTACCTGGACCACATCCTATAAGTCAATATATGTTCATTTTATCTGTTCTGTTCCTGTAGAGAAGCCTAACTAATACAGGTACCAAGGAATCTCAGATCTGTCAATTGTAGGCATCTCTTTGAACTTCATTTCCTCACTAGAAGATAAGGGTAATTAATAACTACCTTGGGATACTGTGAAGATTAAGAGTCCAGGAAGGAACTATCATAGTTTATGACACTAAGAGAAACAATTAAAAGGGGAAAAAACCCTACTGGATGTGTTCTATATTCTACCAATTTCCTACTGCTATAGGGCTGACAGCTGTCAGATTCTATAACAAACTTGGAATGAGAGGGAGGATGGGTGTCCCAGAAGTATTGAAATGTATGGATCATTGCAGCAAAGCACACATCTGTATGCTCATACAGCATCATAGTTAGTCTAGATGAGTATTCGCCTTATCTTTTCCATAATTACAATAAATCATGCCTGTGGACTATGGCATATTAGGGTCACAGAGTGGTGATTCAGTAGAGAAAAGATGCATGGGCACAGGGATTCCCAACTCTCCTGTGATTATTCAAACCAAAAGTTTCACCTAGGGTAGTCAAAATAAGAGCAATATACACAAGAACCCTCTCTCGTTTATGTTTTCGTGAATTAATAAATGATCTGACCAGTTTTTGAAGCCCTGGGCCAGCACAGTGAAGATCAGAGACTCATCAGAGAATTCTTGTGTTGGAAGTAAGTAGTCAAGTGGGACACCCATGAACTGGAAAGCTGGAGTGATGGTATCACAGCCCAGCCTGCCTCCTTCTGGCTATGTGATTGAAGACAAGTTCTTTGTTTTCACGAAGTATTGGTTTCTATCTCTGTAAAATGGAGCCATTAAAACATACTTTACAAGTAAATGAAATGAGGAACCTCAAGCTCCTGATCCATAAATATTTAGTTTTTATATGAACCTGGTAGTACAAGCATGTACTCTCAGTACTTGGTCGCTGGAGACAGGAGGGTAATGAATTCAAGGCTGGTTGGAGGCTACCGTGGGAGACTCTATTTCTAAAAACAAAACAAAAATCTTTTTTTTCTCTTTTTGGAATTCACTTATAATTTATCAGGATTATTACAAAATTACCAATGATTAGCTCATTCAGTTTTATATAAGTTGACAATATATTCTTAAAAATTATATAGTAAATAATTTGTATAAGACAAAGAGATCTAACAATAGTCTCAACCGCCGTTCTGTGACATAAGAACTGGTGGGCAAGGAACAAGTCTTACTCATCTTTACATGCCTCCCTCCCTCAAGATGTCAAATAGTGTTGGTCACCTAACAGCACTGTTTAAATATTTGTAGAAGCAGATTCATTTGTCTTGAGATACTCAGATGTTCCATTTTATTAGTATTACATAGCAGTCACAAAATTAATCATGGTGAGTCCCAGTATTTATAAGAAACACTTTGTTCGATGTTTTCCAACATGAATAGTTCAACTTAGGATTCCTTAAGAGAACTTTGGAGTTAAGAAATTTGGGAACCATGATGCCGTTTATTCATTCTTTTCATATTATTTTTTCCCATTGGGCAGTGCAGGGAGTAGAACTACTAGGTGATATGATGTGATTTCAGATCAGCCATCTGCTAGCCAAGGGACTGTGGACCACCATGTCATTTCCTCAAACTAGATTATGACTTTGATATTATCCCAGGTCATTTAACTTAAACATAACGGCTGAATCTATTTCAGAGACAGTTGTGGTGGTTAATGCTTCTGCTTGTATTCAGGTGACTGACCAGATTTAAGTGGATGAAATTGGTGGTGACAGTAAGGTTTTGTTTGTTTGTCTGTTTGTAAAATTTTTATTGAATTTTTGTGTATTTCATATAGAGCATCTTAATCATCTTTGACCCTCTTCCCCAATGGCACCCTCCCATAGCCCCCACCTCAAATGGAATTCATACATTCTGTCATTTGTACTAAGGCCTATCATGTCAAGTTAGTGTCCCCAGATGTCCCTCGGTGCAAGTTCATACACTGAGGTCTAGTCAGCCTATTTAGAGTCCTTCCCTTTAACAGATCAGTTCTTCCTCACCCAGCAGTAATCTGCTGCCAGGGGTCAGGAACGCAAAATCACAACTGGCCAAAGCACAGAGAATAAGAGTCTGCAGGGTGTGGGTCTTTGGACAGGACTCCTATATTAAACTCCACCCACCTAGGGCTCAGGGACCATTGTGGAAGAAGGGGCAGAAAGATTGTAAGAGCTAGGCAGGAGGTGTATGACCATAAGAAATAGAGTCCTACAGGCTCCTGAAACTTTGCTCATAAGAACTTACAGAATAGTGTCAGCATGCACAAGACCCATGCAAACTCAAGCAGACAAAAACCCGGCACAGAACTGTGGAAATGGGAAGCAAACCCCAATCATAATGGAAGAATTATTGACTGTATATTTTTGAAGTGTTTCCTCCAAGTCAACTTGTAAAAGGAAAGTTTCCTTATTTTCATTAGCTTCAAGAAGGCAAGATTTCTAAAACTCTCTGCTCCAGAAAGAGATTAAGTTTCTTGGGTTAGGACATTTTATATCTGCTATCAATCAATGCCAAGAGTCAGACTTTCTGATTATGAGTTTAAAAATAAGAAGCTGTTTCCACAAAGGAACAATCATAAGATTATCATATAATTCAGAAGCTTTACTTCTAGGTACATACCCAAAGAAAGCAGAGGCTTATATACTTTTACCCTCATCTTTATATACACATCATTCAGAAGACCTAAAAGATAGAAACAACCCAAATACCCACTGGTAGATGAATGGATAACTAGATGTGGTATATGCATATAATGGAATGATATTTACCTATGGTAGGGACAAAATTCTCTTATATGCTGCAATATGAATGAATCTTGGAAACATCATGCTAAGTGAAAGAAGCCAGACACAAAAGGACATATATTCCATGATTCACTTATGTGTAGAACACAGAATAGTCAGATTCTTAGACAAATGTAGAATGGTGCTGCCAGGGGAAGGAAGAGCACTGGGGAATCATTGTTTAGTGACTTTTTCTGAGGAGGTATGAACAAATGTCTATTCACCCTGTATAGGACACCAATGACAGACCAAAGAAATGATTCCACCCAAGTCTAGGTTCATGAACCAATGAATTTATTGGGTTACTTACAAGAGCCTGAGTTACTCAAAGGCATGGTAGGAAACTCCACCCCAGCATGGGTTTAGATTCACAAAAGCTGTATCCCTAGAACTCTCTGCTCAACCTGCAGGCAGGGCCACCAAAAACTCTTCTCTTCCCCAACAACTGTTTACTATTTACATACTTGGACAATCTCAAGGAAAGGCCTCATGAGTCTTACAGCTCTCTGGGTTCCCTAAATTCTGTAAGTTTCTGACCCTCATAATAAATTTCTTTAACTTCTAAAGGAGTTTAAGGGAAGTACCCTGCATGTGTGGATAATCCTGCTTCTAGAAGTCATGAGTATTAAACTAAAATCCCAGTATCAGAGTGGGATACCTCTCTGTGAGCTGTTGATCAAGGAGTCCCAGAGCCCTTCTTCCAAGACTATAAACTATTGCCATTTCTCTTGCCTGTCCACCAGAGCTAAGTGGTAATACCCTACTACTGAAGACACTACCCACTCTGGCTGCAGGACATGGCAAAATAAAGCTGGAGCTGACCTGGAAACTTTTTCCTTGCTGCTTAGCTTTCATAGTTGGTGGTGAAAGGTATAATGCAGGCCTCTAGGGAAGAAAAGTGATCTTACCCAGTGGTGGACCCTGCATACTATAATACTAACTATAATACTAACAGGCAAAATATGCCAAGTCATGTAATCATGGCATGAATGTTATTAGGATAATCAACTACTTTCCAGTTTGAATGCATGCTTGGCATGGCAAACCAGGTCAAAAGCCTATGGCTAAGGAGACAATAGGTCCTAGTAAGTAATCAGCTACTATTGTTTTACTAAATGAACGTGTTGGCAAACTGCCTTCTAAATCTTTGTGCTTATTCTCATAGATTAGTATTGCTCTCAACTTTGGTCAGAGAAACTTCTTTTTAGAGTGGCCAGTCGTTAATGCAGAAGTTCATACCTGTCAAAGTGCTGAGAATAAGTGACTCTTAACTCCTCTTCTGAATGGAACAGCTAGCTCTAACACACACACACGCACGCACACACACACACACACACAAAGGGCTCAGGGAACATTGTGAATGAGGAGACAGAAAGAATGCAAGAGCCAGAGGATGGGGAGGAGTGCTGTGAAATGCTGTCTTCTGGATAGGACATGACTGCTGCGTTCATGAACTCACAGCAACTATGGTTTCTTGCCTAAAACCTGCAGAAGATTGAACTTGTCAACATTCCAGTGGGTGGGGGGAGGGGCTCATGATGCCACACTCTTTCCTGAGGAGCTATTGGCAATTAATGGTTGCTGGGAAGGGGGCAGTCACTTTTCTCCAGTGGTGTAGTCCCTGGCAAGTTGCTTATGATCCAATAATTAAACTCAGTGAGTTCTTAAAAAAAAAGAGAGGGGCTGAAGAGCTGACTCAGCGCTTAAGAGCCAAGTCAGCTCTTAAGCTGACTTTAGCTGACTGCTCTTGCAGAGGACCCAGGATCTATTCCCAGCACCCATGTTCTGATGGCCTCTCTGGCCTCTTCAGGCATTGCATGCGTGGGTGC